TTTAAAGTTAGCAAAGGTATAACATACAGATTGCCAACTCTTACAACAATCTGTTTTTATGTTGCTAATATTGTGGCTGTTTATGATAAACTCCGAACTCTTCAAACACATACTCTCAAAAAAACAACAGAACCCGGTGAGTCTCCGAAAAGGATTAAAAGATCAAGGGACACAAATTAATTATTTATAAATATTTGTCTTTTATATTGTTAATATTGATATGCAATTTCTTGCGGATTACGTCGAGCAAGATAAGAGAAATAACCTTGTCAGGGCAAATGACAAACCTACGGGGCCCGCGAAAGGACATGGGGGGGATTATTTTTTTCTTTTCCGTCCCAACACAGTACTTCTTGCATTCCCATGCAATAGTATTTTTGTCATCTCACAATACTTTGTGGGATAGTTTCCAAACCAGAAAACTGCAAAAATTGAACAAATACTACACCCGGTTTTGAGATTTATTGAGTTTTATTTTGAAATCTGCCTTAAATAAAAGGATATTAAATCAGACTTAAAGACAGTTATGACCCACAAGTTGTTAGACTACTGAACTTTGGACAATAATACTGTCATGAAGCGGGTTTTGGAGGTAGAACCAATGTGCAGTGAAGGATATCAGGAGACGACGAATGAAGGTAAATGCAGGTTTTAATATTTACCAAACCAGACCAGAACAGAACAGAGAGTCACCAGACGTTAACAGGAAGGAGGACAATGGTGAGGGTAAGACAAGGACATCTATGACATGTATCCAGCGGGGAACAATGAAAACAAAAAGGCATATATACAAAACAGAACAGCTGGGGGAACCAATGAGAGATGAGACCAGATAATCAAGGAAGACTAGGAACAGGTGTGGGTGACACTACTGGGAGACAGAGGGAGTGAAACCAATTAACAAGACCTGACACAGAACTAAAGGTAAACAGAGATCCAGACCAGGTATAAAAAAAACAAAAAAGAAAAACACAAATCTAAAACTCAGTCACTGGCTGGGTATGACAAATACTGCACTAGACCACATTTGTGACACTTTATTAACTTATTGCTGCTGCACAATGTGTATTTTTTATTGCACGCCATTAGTGCTTTTGTTTTTTATAGTGAGTTGAATGGTTCTTATTATCCTAAACATTTCATTGCATTGACTGTGTGTTAACCTGCATATGACAAATAAACCATACCAATGCCATATCAGTCCAGTTTGTTTTGTGAGCAGTTTGTCAGGGGTGCTGCTGTCCTAAAATGCATAGCTTTCTCAAGGTGATTAACAACTTTTGCGAGGGAACACAAAGGTATTGCATGGGGACGCAAAAGAAAAAAATCCTCCATGTCCCTTTGCTCCGTACAAACCTGCTGTGAGTAGCACAACAAAAGTTAACTAAATGTAACAGTTCAGAAAAGCAAGGGCCGAACGGAACAGAAGGATAAAATCAGCAACTGGATCATTTATAATGATGCAGCGTAACAATCCCTGCATATTTCTAGCAACACAGCAGAGGATCTGTTTGCTTTTCCTCTTGTTCCAGCCAGTAGCACACGCAATTTCCTCATTTNCAACTGGATCATTTATAATGATGCAGCGTAACAATCCCTGCATATTTCTAGCAACACAGCAGAGGATCTGTTTGCTTTTCCTCTTGTTCCAGCCAGTAGCACACGCAATTTCCACATTTAAATTGGGTGGTCTGCACCTGTTTTGCACCTGATATCCATTGCACAAGCAATCTTTGAAAATCTCACACAACACGCCCAATTATTGCACATGCAATTTATTTATAGTACACGCAAATTAGCACCCTTTATTTGGGATCTTTGAAGATCAGACCCATAGTGTTTTACATTTAAGCCATAAAGTTTAATTTAAGTCTCATTCAATCAGAGCACCTGCTTTCAGCTAAGCACGACGCATTAATCAAAGAAGCATCCATAAGCTCCATGATAACTCTGGGGGTGCAGCAGAGAGCCACAGCTCAGGTGGGATAATCTGCTGACAGGAAAACTATCAGTCACAAACTCTACAAATCCATCACTTATGGAAGAGTTGGCAAGAAGAAAGTCATGTTGGAAGAAAGCCATAAGAAGTCCAGTTTGCAACCATGTTTGCAGTTTTGCCACATTCTTTCAAAGTTGAAATTAATCTTAACCCTGCTTGATTACTGCCCACAACTTTCTCCCCAACCTGTCTGCTGTGTTCCTTTGTCTTCATGATCCCGAATGTTCTCTGAAAAAACATCTGAGTCCTTCATAGAATAGCTGGATTTATACTGAGAATAAACAGCATACAGGGAAGCTCTATTTATAGAGCATAGAGTTTGGTGTACATAGAGGTATGTACACCAAACTTTTCAAATTTTTATTTGTAAAAAACTTGTAAAAACATAATTTTCCTTCCACGTCAAATTAATGCACTACTTTGTGTTGGTCAATTCTATAAATTCCTAGTTATGTACACTTACATTTGTGGCTGTATTGTTTCAGGCATGTGAAAGTCCTTGCAAGAAATTCTATAAAAGTTAGTAACAAATACCTGTCCCTTAGATCAAGTGATCAAACTGGAATGTTTAGTTTGCATTCTAACCCAATTTGAAGTTTGAAATAAACTCTTTAATTTGTTCATTTTCTGTAAATCTGTATTTACTGAAAAACTATTAAAGTAAAAAAAAAAAAATTAAACAAAAAAATATAAATAAATTACATGAACAAAAACTGTGGAAACTGGGAGGTTAGTCACAGGATCACCTTGTTAGTGATTTTAATATTTGGCATTTCAGCATGTTGTATGAATTTTCAACAGCCACATTTTAAGCCTGTATTTGAATTCAGTATATTTATATTTCTCCAAATAACAACAAATATCCTCTCATGGCCCTTAAAGTAATTTCAATCTAATCATATGGTCAAATTCCAAATCAAGTACATGTATTCCAATTTGACCCTCGTTATCAAACAGTGCAGTCAAGTTCAGTTCATTGTTAAATGTTTGTTTAAAAATATCTAAAGAAACCCAGCAGATTGCATTGAGTCATTGACTTGCAGCATTCACTCCTCCTGGATGAGCATGTAGAGACAGAGAAAAGAAAAATCCCCTTTAGCAGGAACAAGCCTCCAGCAGGACCAGGACCAGGCTCAGTTTGAGCGGCCAACTGCTATGACCGTCCGGGTGGTTTGAGAAGAAAGGGCAGACATACAAAAACACAGAGGCACTGATCCAGGAGTACTTTCTATGTTCAAGAAAAAGTAAAACATTAAAGGCAGTAGTAGCTTATTTAGTGGCTTCATCTGGAAGAGAAACAAAGCTAAGCAGATGAGCTCTGAACCAGTTTCAAGGCTATAGGATTAAAGAGAGCAAATACAGTTAGTTACAGTCAAAGCTCAGCCAATTGTCATTTCTAGGAGGTTAAACACTGAAAGACAAGCCTGTCATCTATACAAAGAGAACATTAAGTTGTTGACAGCAGCAGCCCAGACGATGCCCCCCTCCAGGAATGTGTCACCGCTAAACACAGAGCCAGGCCAAGTGTGGCTTCTAGGACGAGAAAAACAGAGAAAGCATAATGTTGAAATAACAGCCAAAAAATGCAGGCTTTGTAGAGTGGTAGGAGAAGGTAGCAGAGTGAGGACGCCGAACATATTTATTGGGTTGACCTATTAGATCCCATGCATGTTGCTCTGTGATTTATTATGACTGAAAGATTCATGTTATTGTCAGCTTAAGGTTTGACTATGCTAAAGCACAAATAATCTGACAGAGGAGCAGCAGGCAGCCAAGAGTAGAAAGAGGAGCCCAGCAGAATGGAAATCTATCATTCTATTGTGAATCCTGAATCTTGAATACCTGGTTAAGATTCTAAAACCCAGAACTTCTTCAGCTTACCGTTTTTCAGTGTCACCCTCTCATATAGCTTTAAAGCCTGTCCAACACATTGCCCAGTAGCGATTAAACCCCAGTGAAGTGACAAGCTCAAGAAAAGAAAAAGCCACTGTATCATTTTTGGACTTTTTCTTTTTTTGACACACTCAAAAAAGGAGAGATTCTTTTCATTGTTGCCAGGCTGTGGTTTGTTGGGGATGAAGTCACTGCTTTTGTAATCCAAAAGCAAATCAAATAATGCATAACATGAACCCAGCATATTATGTGAGGAACACTGAGGCCCTGCCGCCCTGCAACCTTTTGAGATACGCAGATGAGTCCAGAGAGGATGAAAAAGCCCTTTATGTGTACACTGCCAAGCCAAAGCTGCATAAACAGTCTAGTTGTTTTCCTGGCCTGACCAGTTAAACGCTGCCCCCTGAAAAGTGGGATTGCATGAACACCATGGGAAAAGAACAGGGACAGAGGCAGAGAATGAAAACAGGAATAGGAAGAACAAAGGGAGATTTTCTCAGCTGTAGCGCCTCACTGGCTGCTGTGGAAAATGAACAGGGATGTACGGTTGAGCCGTAAGATCAGTCTGTGGAAGCAGCCAGACTCAGGAGCTCCGTACTGCAGCAGCACACACTTCACTCGGTGGAGACGGGGTTATAAAAAAAAAAACAGTTGGAGAAAGCTCAGTTTTACACAAACTTGCTGCATAAAACCCACTAGAATAGAGTCTAAACAGAAAAGGCTTACATTGAGCCCAGTTCAGCAGAGGTCATGACAATTAAAACTGGCTTTCTAAACCTAGTTAAAAAAGCACAATGCATTCACTGTAATACAGCAACACAAAGTAGTGTCTAACTCAGTGAAAATGACACTTGGTTTTAAAAGGTGGGACGTCCATTTGTTATCGGTCCCGAGTCAATAGTTCATAGGATCACCTTTTGCTGTAATTACTGCTGGAAGTCTTCTGGGACATCTTTCTACCAGCTTAGAACAGACTGTACAGACAGACCTTTTGTTAATTCTTGTTTGTAATTCAGCTCAAACCCAGTCAGACTGGATGGAGAGCATCATTTTTAGGTCTTGTTACAGATTTTCATTTAAATTTAGGTCTGGACTTTGACTAAGTAGGGCTGGAGAGTGGTATAGTTGGTATCACTGTTGTCTTGCAGCAACAATGTCCTGGGTTTGAATCCCGGCGGGGGGTCTTTCTGCACAAAGTTTGCTTGTTCTCTCTGAGCATGCGTGGGTTGTCTCCGGGTATTCTAGCTTCCTGCTATGGTCAAAAACATAACTGTTAGACTTACTGGCCTCTCTAAATCTTAGATATGAGTGTCTGCTTGCATAGTTGTTTGTCCTGGGTGTCTCTGTGTTGCCCTGATGGACTGACAACCTGTCCAGGCTGTACCCTGCCTGTTGCCCACTTACCACTGGAAGCGGCACCAGCCCCACTGTGACACTGAAAGGATAAGTGGGTATAAACAATGGGTGGATGAATGGATGTACTTTGACTGAACCATGAATATGCTCTGATCTAAATGATCTAGTGTTGCTCTGGCTGCATTTTTCGGGTCATTGTCTTGCTTCACTAATGTTCTCTAACAAACTATTGAGGTCTTCACAGAACATTTTCATTACACTAAAATTAAATTACAAACAGGTGCACGCTATTTATAAATTAGCTTATATGGGATTTTATTTCGGGTTTTGCAAACAACACTAACATCTGAGGACATTTGTTTAGTGGATTTACTTTAGGGTTACAAGAGTAAAGAGGGCTAAATACAAATAAACCTTACATTTCCATTTTTTATTTTTTACATATTTCAAAACTATGCATCATTTTTCTTCCACTTTACAATTACCCATAACTTTGTGGTTTTAATAAGACAGAATTTGGAAAATTCTGAAATTCTTTTCATAGAGCAACACAGCCACAGATGTACACATTTTACTAGCTTGGGATGTCAGGTTGTCATGGAGATCACTGGGTCGCCATCATGAAATCCACACAAACTTTAAAGTTTCTGTTTATGTGGCTGTACTTCACACATATGACTAATTATTTCCCTTTCGTACTGTATTTTAGAAACTTTTTGCCCATTATTGTCTACAGATCTGCAAGAAATCAGTGTTTTTCTCAAATTTCAATGTTTCGGGCAAAAAAAGGTGTTTGATATGTGATTTTTATACTTGTATTTACCTAACATTTCTGTAGTTCAGATATTTATTTCTGAATTTAAATGTTAAACTTTGAAGGTCAGATGATATGTTGTAGAATGTGGGCAGCAACAAAACTGCAAACTAACCGTCTGACATAGAGTTGGTGAAAGTGATAGAGCTCTAGAGCAAACCAAACACCAGCTATGCTCATCAACATCCTAACATAGACAGTAGAAGATCTTTTGGGTTTATCAGTTTTAAATATAAACTAGGATACTTAATTCACTATTACAGTGTAATCTGACATGTATGTGTTGTATCCTGCAGGCCTGCAGCAATGGCAGTCATTTCTCTGGCCTTTGGGGAGTATATCCTGGAGCCGCTCTTCATGCCCTGCAGTATTCCCCCCATGGCTGTCAAATTGGCCACGGCCATTGGCTTCAGTAAATATGACAGCTATTGCTTTATTATCCAATAAGACCTACACTGCCTTAGTATGAGATCATTATAACTTGTTTTGGCCTGTTCTGAAGTTTGTAAACACTGACTATGCAGAGGCACAAAGGGTGGCATAATCTGACCAATACAAAAAAAATCAATTTTCGAGACTAAATGTAGCCTTCATATAAACTAGATCTAAATTTTTCCATCCACATTTAGACTGGATGTAGCCTAAGCAGTTAAGCCCTTAGTACATTGCCTATAAATCCCACACCCACCATTGCAAATTTGTGAGAAGTCAGTAAGTCATTCATAAAGGCCAGATAGCAAAGCAAAATTAAAATCCAGCTTGACATATTTTATTTGACTTCATTTGACCATTCTTGCATATTTCTGTTAAATGTACTTAACTGTTCATTGTGTGAAACAAGATTAGTTTGCAAGTTTAGGCTTGGGGAAGGTTCATTTCTGGAGGAAATTTACCCAGATTTAAGCCTGCTTAGTCACATTTTCAAACAAAGAAAAAACAGAACATCAGCTGTCAACATGCATAGCACATTATGGTAAACTAGTGCATCAGGTGTATTTCATATGGAAGCAAGAAATATTTTCAGTGTTCTTCTTCTACTACTACTACACAATGTTGCCTGCAGTGTTCCGCTAAGACAAGTTGTTAGCATAACTGCCTTTAGGCTTAAAGTAGACAATCATCCCATGCATGGATTAACTGATTAATTGAAGGATCCTCTTAGTGCTATGTGGGCATATATCTTTAAAGTATTTTAAATGGATGAAAAGTAAAACACAATATCCAATTTTATCAAATCAATGCTTGAATGTCTCTATATCGTTGCTTCCTTTAAACTTTTAATTCAAACTTTTTCGGCAATAAAAACAGAGATGGCAAAATAAAACAAAAAACAGTTTCAAGCATAACATTTTATTGATTAGGACATCACAAAAATTATCTGTTCTTTACAGGGTTCTAAAATGATTTTAAACCTGAAGTTTACAAAAACCCACAGATTCCACATTGTTGTTATTTATATGACACAAAGATAATGCAGAAACTGAAGTACTATGTGTGAAGATTGAAGTATACCTCATGTTCCAGATGTATGTAGAACCACATTTAACATCAGTAACTTGTACTGTTTTCTATTGGACTTCGCCATTCTCATATTGTTGTGGATAATTTGGCCTCACAATGCTTGGGTGTTGTCTTAGTTCTTCAGTGGATGCAGGCATTTGTTTCTTCACAGCTCTCTGAAGGTCTCCAGATGCTAGTCTGCAAAAGAAGATCCTCACATCGTCATCAGCATCACATGGACCACATAAGCATGCACTCAGCCTCATTGGGGGCTGGTTTGTTAAATGTCTACTCTTGGATAAGGCAGAACTGAAAAGAAGAGAAAAGAAATAATTAAGCGACTTTTCATCAGAATTTGAACATACTTTTTCTATCCTTCTGGTTCATAAAGATTAATTAATCCAAATGTGACACACAGCAGATATCACCGCACTGAATTACTTAAAAACAAGCCTCAGTGCTGTTTTTGTCTTCTGGTTGTCGCACAGTGTTTTTATCTGCTGTTTGTTTGTCACCACTTCTTGAATAGGAATTTTATGATTGCTGTGTTCTCAAAGAAAACTGGGCTGTAGGTACCTAGATGTTTGCAGGGCAGCCTTAGTGTCACGTAAGGTTGACAAAATTTAAGTCACATTTAAGCCCAATTGATCATCTTTGATCAGCATTGTATGATCCAGTTTAATTAGGCAAAAGGTCTCACATTTTATTCTAGAATACTCGTACTCACAAAGAATCCTAAGACTAAAAGTAGCTCCTAGTAATTCTAAGATACTTCTTAGAATTTTACCTTGGTATAATAAAAGGGATTCAAGAAGGCCTTAGGCCTCAAGAGAGCTCCTAGGGTGATCATCTCCCTTGGGCGAAATTAGTTTCACCTACAGGACAGGGTAAAGGTACACCTTTAGTAAGGTCGTGTTAGGAAAATATATAAATACTGGAAACAATAATGAATTACCATGAATAAAGAGTAATACTAATTTACCACAATATAGTACAGAATAATATAAATGATTCACACACTGTAAAATGCTTTAAAAAAACACTTTGCAAATTGCAAAAAGTTGAAAAAAATGATATATACATAAGTACACACTCTAGACAAGAGTACAATTGGAACCAAATCTACATTTCAACACTCCTCTCTTCTCCTCCACCAGCTGTGCCAACAGCAGGTTCTGCTTCTCTGTCCAATCTGGTTTTCTCCACCTTCATTTCTCTGTTTTGTTTTGGTTGCTTTACCAAATTAGACCTCTTTACGCAAGAAGGTAATCACGGTAAAATGCTGACAGGTGAGTGTCCACATTAATATTAAACAGATAAAGTAGGAAAATGACCAGCATGGTGAGTAAACATAATAATACGCAAATCAAAATAACGATAAGCATGAAAATAAGGTTCAAACACATTGATGCTGTTGGACAATTAATTTAAGTTTACTAAGTTTCATCATCATGATTGACACATTTCTTAATCCACAATAAATCCTGTGATGGGTTGGGTTCTTTCCACTGGTTACTAGGAGCACATTTGTTTTATTTTTTGCAACAACCAATCATGGCGTTTAGAAGACAGCATCACACCTACCAAACACACCTCCTCACTAAAATAGGAATTTCTGTCGTGTCCTCGCTCAGAGTCGCTCTCAGCAATTAGCTGACTGACTCTTAAGCTGAGACTGAGGCAAGAATTTTTAGGCTAAAATAGGAGCTCTCTGAGAGGACTCTGAGAATCTTTTGTGAATACAGATCCTGATATATCGAGGGGATCATTAGAATGAATGGCTGCATGGTGCCAGCACCTATGGCTGTAAAACAACCCTGAATCATCACACTTCCACCAGCATGCATGACACTAGGCATAAGGTGCTTTAAGTAATTGTTTGGTTTTCCAGACATGGTTCTGTACGTTATGGCCAGACATTTCTACTTTGGTCTCATCTCTCAAAAGACATTGTCACACAAGTGTTGAGGTTTGTTCAGAAGCAGCTTTGCAAACCAGCACTACCTGAAACTCCTGCTTTCATAGAAATGACCCCACTAATAAAAAGCACATTCAACTGTGTGCCATGGAATCATCAAGGGTGTACTTGATTTTCACACATTACCTTTGTCGTTTAATGTTGCTTATTAAATAATGACAGAGTGGAATCTGTTGCTTCACTTTGTTCACTTGACGATAGATGGAGACAGGTAGAGAAACTGAAAAAGACCAGATCATCTTAACCTAAGAAATGAAAGGATCTACCTCGTTTGTACTGTGGTACTAGTAAGCTTTTTAAGAAATTTAATGTGTAAGGTACCCAACTTGTTTACCAACAAAATGTTGTTAGTTGTTTTTACAGTGGGAAATATGCTAGGAAATATGTTGGGTAAAAAAACATTGAACTGGGGCTTGATATAAGATTTCTCAACAAAAGGCATACTGTGGTTGCAGTGTAATAATTGAAAGCTTTAGGTTAATTTTTAGTTAATGTTTTTATGATGCTAGGCTAATACTTTTGTAAATCCATTCAGAAACGATGG